TTATTTTAAACATTTTATTTTAAAACATTTCTTCCTCATGAACAGGGATTTCATTTTCAGTGCCAAAAATGAACTGCCAGTTGCTTCGAAAAAATCCTTGTGTGGTGAAAAGAGAAATCCCCCAAGACACCTCTCCAGGTGAGTGGGTGACTGGGAAATGGCATAAGGCAGTCTGTGGATGAGCAGGTCATGAGAAGGCAATACACAAGAGGCTTTCTTGGAAAATGTGAACTCTCGAAATGTCCAGAGGTTAAACCTACAAGGCATGGGACTGGCATGAGGCTGTCTGCTCCCATGTAGATCGGAAGTCTCAGAAACCCTACATGGGATTCTATGAGACAGCAATCCTCAGTGGCAGTGGATTTGGGTCTTTTGTGCTGTTCTTGTTGTTGACATGTCCCAGGTCACTTCACAGAAGCCTCTGCATCATGAAGGTCTTCGTCTTGACAGCTTTCTGTGCCTAACGTTCTTTCAGATAGGAAGTGACGCTGTCTTCTTTATTTAACACCACTCCATGATTATATGTCCTTCTCCGTTTTTGCAATCTCACTGTCTTCTTGCATTTTAGTTCTTACTCTTCATGACCTCCTTTACATCTGTGTAAAAATGATGTGTCCAAGACCTCTGGCCTCCTCTAACTTCACGAGGAAGAGAGAGAATCACCAGTAACAGATAAATCTTATGATGTGGAGGTTGGATATGCCTCTACCCTTCAGCTCTTACCAGGTCTGACAATAACCACACCTCTCATGGCACTTTGGACTTTCTGCCGGGTTTTATAATTCATAGCAAAGGCCACACACAACTCATGGACCATACTCACAGTTAAAGGTTTACTAGGGAGATAACTGGTTACAATTCAAGTTCAGGAATGCACAGAATACCATTCTTTAATCAGGACAGCCTCTTTTCAGCTGTCTCCACAGGAAGCCTCACCTGTCGTCCGTCCTGGCTGGCCTCTGCCCTCCTTGAGCAAATGTTATAAAATATTTTAGCTCTGTGGATAAAGACCCAGAGGCAACTCCCTCCTCCAGTAAGTCTTGGCCCAAAGCTACTCAGCTCACTAGCTCTGTAGGTTCTACTGAGTTCTACCAAGTATTCAGAAGGCCCCGACTGTCAGCAAGCCTCCCTCCCCGAAGCACTCAGATTTCTGGTTCTGCGGGCCAGGAACCCACCACATCATCCCTTGCTGGTCTCCTGGTCCTGCCGCCACTTCTTTCACCAACTCCAATGTTATAAGTTCTGTATATCTCCTGGGTTAGGAGATTCCTAGCATAGGGCCTCTGGATCAAAAAAACCCCCCATGCTTTTCTCTTGTTTATTCCTGGTGGCATTAAGATTCTCTTTTTTTCCCATGGACTCTGGGATTGGCTCTCTTTTAAGCCTATGGGATAGCAAAGAGAACTTTGGTGGTGTCATGGTTACTTACATATTGGGCTGCTAAATGCAAGGTCAGTAGTTCAAAACTACCAGCCTCCTCCACAGGAGAAAGATGTAACTTTCTATTCCTGTGAAGAGTGATTGTCTCAGAAACTCACAAGGGCAGTTCTACCTTGCCC